GTTATTTGATTGTTTTTGAAGAGGAACATTTAAGAAGGTATATGTCATGTTGGTTAAGAAAGTAAACTGTGTATTTCTTTACTTTGACAGGAATACTTTGGTTGCAGAAGGGAAATTTAATGTGTTTATTTTATTTAATTTCAAATTTCCGAAAGCTTTGGGAGAAAGTGAGGAGTGTACATTTTAGAGGAATGATGTTTTATTTTTGGAAGCCAGAAAAGAATAACAGAGTACAAAAAATGGCTTCCACAAATTATAAATTACTAAACCAATGTTTCTTCTACCCAAATTCTTAGAGTTAGGAGACTTCAGGTTTCTATGCTACTGTCTTGGGGATGGCCTATCTAAAAAAGGATTACTGGAGTGGTAGTATGGATTTTCATGACTTTACTGGTGGTGGTGGTTTTTTTTTGTTTTGTTTTTTCTTTTTTTTTGGCTTGGGCTAAAAGAGCAGCTGGTCAAACAGCTGGAACTTCCCTTTGTGAGAGGTGGTGGAAATGTACTGTTGGTGGAAGTGACAAACCCTAGGAAATAGAACACTACTGAAATGCCAAGCGTTCCATGGAGATGATCCCCTTTCTAACCTTTTCCTTGTCCTAAGTTCTCAACTGAATTAGGGGATTGTCTTCTGTAAGATTCTTATTTTTTGCATGTGAATGATTGGTGAAAGTAGGAATTAAAGTATAGAATTTGTCTCTGTATACAACTTGAATAGGAATATTTATATTTTATTAATCTGGGAATATGTCACTTTCCAAGCCAAGCAAATATTATATTACCAAGTCATTTGAAAAGAAACTAGTCTCAAAAAATGTTGTAAACAAATATTTTAATAAATAAACTAGTTAAGAAGTTAATGATGCATTAACTTTAAATGTGTTTGGTTTAGAATTATTATTTGAGTGAATGAGCTCCACAGTCAGAACACCTGTGTTAGATTCATTAAAAACTAGCATTGTCCAATGAGCAGAGATACATTTTAAAGGAGTTTTTACTTAATTCTTTTCGAGTTTGTGGTGCTCGTTATAAAGTTTGGGACTTGTCATCTACTTATTTATGGTGATTATATCTCAGCCAGAGACAGAGAACAGGGGCTTATAGTTGAAGTAGAGCCTGAGCTGAACCTCTCAGTCTGAGGCAGAAATAAAAACAAATCCTTTTGAGACTGTAGCCTTTTGCAATGCATATCTTCCACCATAGGTGAGGGTGTGCACTCTGGAAGTGTAGGACACGGAGGGTCTCTGGCATAGAGCATGCTATTTACTACATTATGTAAACGTAGACAAACCCTAGACTTGTCAGCATAGGAACTTGGGATTTCTGTAGAACTCTTCATCTCTTCATACGTGCAAAATGTCTTCCAGCTGGAGGCTTGAGCATTTAGGCAGTTTTTCACTGCAAACTATATCTCTTTGGAGCATTATATTGTATTAGCTATCATTGTGTCTCCCTTCTAGAGAGCCCTGAAAACTAGAGTGTAGAGACAGGGTTAAATTAAGAAATTTGAATAGTGATGACTGTATTTTTGTTTTCACTGATGACAGTAGCTCTGGGTCCTTACTCTTTACTTTAGATATAGTGTTGGGGGTTCACATCATGCCTGGCACGTTAGGGAAGGAGATCCTGCTCTTTCCCTCTGGTAACCTCTCTACCTTTGGCAAATAGCCATCTAAAATGGAATACTTGTTATGACCATTTAACTCCGGGTTTCTCAGCCTTAGCACTATTCACATTTTGGGCTGGATAATTCTTTGTTACTGGCAGAGGACGTGTGAGGAGGAGATTGTCTTTCGCACTGTAGAACGTTCAGCAGTATTCCTGGCCTCTACCCACTAGATAACAGTAATAATTCTCCCCAGACATCCACCCCCCAATTGTAACAAGCAGGAATTTTCAGCTGTATGCTAGGGGGAATATCACTGACTATTGTGTGTGAGGAGGAGATTGTCTTTCGCACTGTACAATGTTCAGCAGTATTCCTGGCCTCTACCCACTAGATAACAGTAATAATTCTCCCCAGACATCCATCCCCCAATTGTAACAAGCAGGAATTTTCAGCTGTATGCTAGGGGGAATATCACTGACTATTGAGAACCACTGATTAACCTGATTGGTTACATTGTTACATGATTGCGGGAAATGCTTTTTGGTGAGTGGTTGGATTTCCAGTTTGTGTTTCTAAGCATGATAGCTGCCTAAATTGACTGAAGGAAAGAGTTGGAATGATGATGTCTTTATGACTCCTTTCATCCCACAGACGACCCTTCTAGCAGCCCATAATTGGAGAAGCTGTTGCTTTTTCAAGGGTCCCTGTGACTTTGGTTACTACTACTTCTACCACTGGCAGGGGCATGGTATGTCTGTGTGGGTTTATCTCTGCCCTCCGATAAGTGTAGTAAATCAGATAGTTATAATAAGCACATTGATTATTTGAGAAAATAATTTTTAAAAGGCTAGAGCTTGTATATGGGAAGATCTTCAATTTTTTTGGTTTTTAGATACCTACCATTCTTTTAAAAAGTGCCTGTATATATTGAGGTTCTTTTACATTTGGAGGTTAATTTAACCATCTGTAATTCTCTTCATAGGCCCACCTCATAACTGGATGAAGGATTTTATCCTCACGGTTTCTATAGTAATCGGTGTTGGAGGGTGCTGGTTTGCTTATACGCAGAATAAGACATCAAAAGAACATGTTGCAAAAATGATGAAAGACTTAGAGAGTCTACAAACTGCAGAGCAAAGTCTAATGGACTTACAAGAGAGGTAAGTCAAAAAAAGTCATAAGTTTGTAACTCTTGTTTATGTAGGAAAATACAATTTGTAAAAATGCAGTAGGGGCATGTGCTTTAACACTATATTTAGATTATTACACACACCAGGAATATATTACATTTTATATCATATTTTTAGAAAAGTCTTATAGTATTGTCATAATTACAAATTTATTATAAATGTATATACTTGAGAATAAATGGGCAGAAGACCAATGGAAGTAAACCAAATATAGGTGGAATTATATGTGTGGTTAAATTTTATTTTTAATTTTATTTAAATAATTATGACCTTCTTGAAAGTCTCTTTCTGGAGGAGTGTTTCCCTGCTATTCCTGTGTTTTGAGCCCTATATAACCAAAATAGCTGTATACTAGGTTGCCTTATATTTTTATTATCCAAACTTAAGGCTAATAGAAAATGCTGTGAATTCTGATTGAAAAATATATCCAGTTACTTGACACAGTATTTACTCTTTTGTAAAAAAGAAATTTTGGAAACTGTTGTGAGGAATTTTCATTTTTATTGTTCTATAAGGCTTGAGAAGGCACAGGAAGAAAACAGAAATGTTGCTGTAGAAAAGCAAAATCTAGAGCGCAAAATGATGGATGAAATCAATTACGCAAAGGAGGAGGCTTGTCGGCTGAAAGAGCTAAGGGAGGGAGCTGAATGTGAATTGAGTAGACGTCAGTATGCAGAGCAGGAATTGGAACAGGTATTTACATTTTTAAAAGGTATTTGTTAGAATATTTGTATTGCTGCTCTGAGGAGCCAGGTCCTGTTTTTGTACTATGTCTTATATTCAGTTCCGCTTTATACTGTTCTACAGTTAAGAGATGAATCATTTGTTCATATTGTTAGCATTGATCAAAGTCCATATAGCAAAATAATGAAGTGGTAACTGAAAGATAGTGACCGTCATGTTCACTTACTCATGAAATCTTATCTCTTGACTTGTTAACTGTCTTCTGTAAATTTAAGGTGCTTATTTAACATCTGTAATGTGTTTGAGTTTCTGTAACCTAGTAAAATAAAGCATATCTAATTTTGAACTTCTCTGCAAAGATAAGGGATCTCTATTGAACATCAATTTGAATCCTTTTAGATGGTTTAGAACATAATCTAAAAGTTCTAAAACTGTCTACAGGGTGATCTTTCTACTATCTGTTTGTCCTATTCAGTTACTCAAGGTAGAATGTAGGCATTTAGGAATTACACAGAGTTCTTCACAGAAAATGGGGTTCTGGGAGAATTTAATTATAGGCAGATATATTAGTTTCCTATTCTTGCTGTAAAAAGTTACCACAAACTTAGTGGCTTAAATAAACATAAATTTATTATCTTAATGTTCTGGAGGTCAGAGTGAGTCTAAAATGGGTCAGTAGGGCTGTGTTTCTTCTGAAGGCTGTAGGGGAGGACCTGTTTCCTTGCCTTTTCCACTTCCAGAGGCTGCTTGCATTTCTTGGCTCATGGCCCTCCTTTCCCTCAAAGCATGTTACTCCAGCCTCTCCTTTCATGGTCCCATCTTCTTCTCACTTTGACTCTTTCTTTACTAATAAACTGAAAAGCAAAAAGAGGATTAGAAGACTTACTCAAAATAACTCAGTTACTCAATTGTAAACCAGGGGCAAGAACTAGATATTCTGCCTCCCACTTTCTTTTATGTACTGTTGCCTTCTCAATTGAATGTTAAATAAGAAATAAGAATTATGTGATGAATGAGTTTTAATTTCAACTCATAGGGAAAACATGCAGTATGTATTGCCGTTTGCTTCAAGATTGTCCTTTGGGAGGATTTGACTGACCGAACACAGGCATCTCTTTCATTACTGTTCTTTTCCTCATATCCAGACATCTGTATTTTTGATCTCCTCCCTGTAAGGAGTTTATTCTTTTAAATTACTCTCAGTCATTTTTTACAGTCATGCCCCATTTACCTGACAAACCCTCTCTGTACAGAATATTGTAAAGAATCAGGGAGTTAACAAAAAAGGCCTAGCCAAAATTGTACTTTGTCCAGGAATTAGATATTACGCCCTTTATTCTGTAAGAACTCCCTGCCTGTTCCCACTGAGATGGCAAACTCTCAGTTTGATCCCAGTACTAACAAGCTTGTTAGCAATTTTTCTAAACTTTGCAGATAAGAAAGAGCAAATCAGAAAGCAGTAAATGAGATGTTCTTTTACAGAGACATAAATTTATAATAGTGCATCACAGGTGACTGCCTCACAGTGAGGCGGAAGACACAATATAAAAAATGGACCCAAGAATCACAAACATCCTAATCTGAGCTTTTGGGATAGAGACTTTGCACACCTTAGTAGATCCTAAGATTACCACGATATGATGTACTGGTATGAACGCAGTAATCCTAATGAGATCTTGAGTCAATAAAAGGTAGTTTAAAGAAGGGAAATGGATATTTTAGAAAAAGAACAATGTCCAACATG